CCCCAAAACCCCAAAACCCCAAAACCCCAAAACCCCACGGCCCTCTCACTTTATTGAAAATTTATTTTAATCTTCATAAATCTCATAGAAATTTCTACTCTTCAGAATTGTAAATTCTCAGAGCTTGATTAAAATTTCAAGCTTGACGTAAAGGGGCTCTGCTTCAACATTAATGATATGACTAGTGTCTCGTTCTGCTTCATATGCTTCGTTTATGCTATCTTCGTCATCAGACATGTCCTCTAGCTTCTTGAAGTAGTCACTTCTGTTTAGACTCTTCAGAGGCTGGTTCTTTGTAGTTTGGTCTTTATTTTGTAGGTTTTACCACTGAAGTCCGGTTCTGATACCGCTCAATGTTTGGAAAAATCTTTATTTTGTGCGCGATACGTGAGATTGCCTCCAAGAACTCGTAGTAGAACATTTGAATATGCTTATTGGTGTTAATTTCATCGATGTATGTCATCATTGAGAGGTTAAACTGACAACCGATTTCAGAACTACCATGGCCTACTTCATAACGCAGGGCTCCAGAGTCGTTAATCAGATAAATAAATTCCTCCACTGACATGAATTTAGGTTTTGAAGGCTTGGTGTATTTTCCGGAATAACGATCGAATAAAGCTTGTAGAATTGACTTATACTTCACAAGAATCTCGTCTCACTCAACGTTCCACAAATGTTCAAGTCGCCATTTATGTCAGTCAAATTTTTTAAATATCGGAATGAGATGTTTTGTCCATAACTCTTGTATAGCTTCAAAAGGTGTCTCTACAAGCTTTGACTTGTAATATTTATGAAGTGCAATTCTTACAAATATTTCCATGAATTGGTATCGCACGAGCCATCTTTCAGGGTTCATTTCTGATTTTGTATACCCTGACTTAGTAACTATAAACTCAAAATCAATATCGCTGAGTTTCATAGTTTTATTTTCAAGGATTTTTGTGGAATTAATAAGCTCATTAAAAGCATTTTGCCCAATGCAGGGAAGGATGCCTCAAGGGTTCATTCCAGCATAGTACCGATATCACTCCCTCATGAGCCTGTAGTTTTCTTTAAGAAATTGCTTGATTAGCTTTTTCTCGTCATCATTTCTAATCATATTTTCTATTTTACTACAGCTCCAGTCATATTCGAAGCATTTCTCTAGCAATAATGTGTTATCAACTCTGAACTTCTTAAACACTGATTTTGCTTGCTGAAATTTGGGCTTTGGTCCTTGATTCTGAGTTGATTTAGGAACGTAAATAATAGGTCTAGGCCGACAGCTGATTGATTTCAAGTACTCAAGATCTATTTTTACTGTATTTTGAGTGTTTATTGGGGAAATATTTAACCTCCAAGGTATAGATTCTCCTCTCATCTGTATTTTCTTTAGCTCAGGATATTTTGAGACCAATGCTGACTTGCTCTCGATATCCACTCGATATCTTGAGACTCCTTTGACACTGAAATAAAACTGAATTGGCTTAGAAGGAACCATTCTCGTGATCTGATATTCTCCTGGATTTTCTGGGTCTTCTTTCATGAGATCTGGATAAAAATCATCAATGCTGAGATGAATCAACACATCATCTGTTGATTTAAATTTGGAATGAGGAAGATTGGATTTATCACTCCTGAACCTAAAAGTCATTGGAGACCATCCTTCTCAGACCCATCAGTTTGCAGACATATTGAGATCTAAGTCTTTCACATCTATTTCACCTGCTTTTAGCGATTTGTTTATTCTTTTGTACACATGTGATGCACTCGGTGGAGTAATATTGGAGGATAAAAAGCCTTTAGCATCAAGACCACGGCTATTGCCAAGCATGTGGATTCCTAGAATTACATTATTCTTCTTCAAACCTTCGTTAAGTATCTCACAATCTTCAGTAGTGAGACCACTGAAGGAAAGATCAATATGGACAATTGAGGAGTTTTCCCCAAGTCCATTGCTAAACTCAAGAATTCCATTATATTTTTGGGTATACATATTCCCAAGAGGGTTGAAGCTGAGGTCAACGACTTTGATAGTCTCATTAACTTTTAATGATTGCGAAATCTGAGCAATTCCTTCACCCTTGATATCATTCCAACTAAGAAAAAGAGTATGTATAGATGTATTATATTCTAGCATTTCTTTTATATACTCTCAACCGCTGTCGGTGATATGATTGGAGCTTAGGTTAAGACACTTGACTGAAGAGTAGCCATTCATTCCGTCTCATACAATGCGAAGAGACTCGTCTCCAAGGTTATTTCCTTCAAGATCAAGCTCAGTAATTCTCTTTCTGTAATCTTTCAGTACATATCTTCCCAGAAATTTGTAGGCATCTTTCTTAATGGCAGGGTTTCCTGAAATGTCGAGGAAATACAGAGAATTTGAAATCTTGTTCATCACTGCCATTGCCCCTTTGGTTGCAAGCTTGTTGCCAGATAGCTGTATAGTCTGCAAATTATTATCCTTCTTTAGTAAATTTGACACGGAGACAATGAAGTCGTCTCCTATTGACAAATTGTTCAACTTGAGTTCTCGATTGCTCACCTTTTTATTTTATAGCTTTAATAATATCCATATCGATTCCTTGAGAAAGGATCTGCTCCTGAGGGATGAAGATATCATTCATTTGGGCCTTTTCATCTTCACTATCGCTCATTGAATCTGAGCTGCTGACATCTAGGTTATACGAAAGATGATTCTCACCCCTAGTTCCTTGAGGAGACATATCTTGTCTGATGTTATGTAAAGGCAATTTTGATGAAGCTTCTCCATACTCATTCGTATCTTCAGAGATAAGCTCAGCAATGGACTTGTTGTCTCCAAAACGAAGAAATTTCTTGCTATTTTTCCTGAACCTATTGGCCATCCTGAAGATACTCTTATGGTTCAAGTGAGTTAACCTGTTGTCATCCTTCTTTTTCAGAAAATTTATTGGATTTACCCCTTTATTTAGGTATTATTGACCTATTAATAATAGGTTTCAAGAAGGATTTTCTAGGTGATTTATCTATTCCCGAAATCTTAGAACTGATTTCACTCATGTAATTCTTGAATTTGGTCTGTTTAGTTGTGAGCTTTTTGCCTTTAAATTTATTTTTCCCAACGATTTTTATCCGAAGACATCTCTCAGGGTTGAAATTGTAAGTTTTATTTGTTTGTCAAAGTATCCCACATGAATTTCTTCGGACTACTTTGGCATGATTTCACCGTTTTTAGTCCTGCATACCTTGGAGTCTCCTTGAGGTTTCTCGAGTAGACACCAGTAGAGATTTTGTTGAGAAAGTTAGCCCGCCCCACTTTAACCTCTTCAAATAAGTTATTTTTCTGCACTTCTAATGGACTGTTGAACCTTTGTTCATTTCTTGAAAGCTCTATAATCCTATCTCTAGAGCTTCTCAAGCTATTTTTGGGTATTCATGTATTCTGTAGAAGCTTTACTTATTCTTGCTATTGAGGAATAAGGGTTGATCGGTTTACTTTTCATCATTTTTGCCCGTGAAAATTTGGGAAAACTATTGCGAGGATTTTCTGTTTCCATTATGTAATTAATTCCAATATTATTTATTCTGGTATTTCTACTATTAAATTATATTTTGGGGTTTTGGGGTTTTGGGGTTTTGGGGTTTTGGGGTTTTGGGG